TACTGATCTATTTCGTTGTTGTTGTACACATGCATATTAGCACAGTCATATCCTTTGTATATGTACTTGAAAATGTACTTAACCGATTTTATTGATGTGACAGCTATATTTCATCAACAAATATCCGTTGGATGAAGCAACATTTGTATTGTCCACAGAAACATTTCCGATATAATTAAATTTGCTTTTTCTTCTTCTGCATTCGTGGTATTCGTTATGTTCATGAGCGTGATTTATGTGCCTTTTTTTGGATACTCCTTCGTGCACACATTGTTTTCCTGCAAAATGTTTTCAAATTTAATACCTGCTTATCGTCGATTAACAATTTTCACTTATTGTATGATCACAAAATCATATATAGCGCGTGTACTTTGCATCTAAAATGTATTTCTAATTTTTTAACAATAAAATATTGATAAATAGCAGGAGTATACATAAATTATTTAGCAAAGAACTGGCTTCTCTCCAGTTCGTTAATTAATTAAAGGTTTACTTCCATAATTATTGTTCATCCGTTTTAAACTATTTCTTTTTGCATAAGTAAGGAAGTTGTCTCATAATTTGGCTATTGTTTTACCAAAAAATGCTTAAAAACAAGGATGTCAGCCGTATAATTTTTATATTAATAAAAAAATAACTTGCAAGCGGTTGGTCAGCTCGAAAAAAATCAAAAAATATTATTTCATCTTTTCGTTGCTATTGATAGGTTATATGTTGTTATTGAATTCTCGGGTTCTTAAACACACTCGGTAGCCATTTACGATTGATGTTTGGAGTAATTGTTTGGTGTCGGCAGAAAATTAATTTTTTAACCTCTGGGAGAAACGCAAACGAGGGAGAATGATCAATTTAAAATGAATATAAGAACAAAATAGGAATAAGTCTTTTCGAATATGTATTAATTGAAATTTCCGTTTTATAAACAGAATAACGCAGCTAGTATAATATAGAATATTACTTGTTGCTAATATATTTTGGCCTTCGGTGCGTAGTCATTGGTAACATGACTTTTATTAGACACGTTGTGACATAGAAAATACTCTACATATTGAATATGGGGTAAGACAATTGTATATTTCATTTCCTTGGGTAAATAATCAATTATATTATAACAGCTTAGTTCTCCTTTAGGTTTTATATTAAGATACGAGTCTATGAATAAAAAGCTGTTCCTGGTGTTTTAGTAATTATTTTTTCGCCGTGAGATATGGCCTCTTAGCTCAGTGGTTAGAGCGTTCCCCTAGTAAGGGAAAGGTCATGAGTTCAAACCTCGTAGAGGCCTTTTTTGCCATCCATAAAAAAAGTAGCTAGCATACACTATATATATAAACAACGAAAATAACTGAAATTTTTAGACATTACGAACTCTTCGTTGTAAATAATACCTGGTAAACACGACTTTATTTATACAATCTCAGTTAGTTATAACCAATATAAGTAATTCATGTTTTGGTCCATTATCTCTTCTTTTTTAATATATCTAACACCGTGTCTTTGCTGTTTTCCCAGTTATTCAAAGTCACTATTTTTTCAATCTCCAACAATTTTTCATAATAAAAATTCCTTTCTTCTTCTAACTGTACGATGAATTCACCAGCCATTTTTAATTTTTGTTCAGCACTTTCCAACTGAATCCTGCAATCCTCGTGCACAGTATCATCCTTTGTTCGTGTATTAATGTTGTTGACTGGCTCTCTCACTCTTATAGCACCAATTTTTTTCCTTACAGTATGGTGCGAAATATCGCTATCGATATGTAGTTTCGTGGGACTGTTCTGATCATTCAAACTAATTTCTGTAATAATATCTGGACACTTTTTTGTTCCCAGTTCATGGCCATGTTTCACCTCATTGGTTAACTGTGATTGCTCTTTTTTCACTTGATCGTATACGTTTTCATGACCACTGTAGCAACGCTTTCGATCATGCTTTTTATTCTTCACCTCTTTGGTATGCTCTATTGAATTGGAGCTACGCCTTTTATCATTATTACAATCGATCAACACGTTGCTTGTTTTTTCACTACCAACTTTTTTTTGTTCTTTGTAGCACACTTCAAAATAATGTTTAACCATCCATTGTGCGACCTCTAAGTTATCCTGCAATCTACAACCAACCATTTTCTCAACCGGGAAAACAACCACTATATTCATTTTTACAAGGTATCTTTGCACAATCTTTAGATTGTTAAACCGTTCTTGCTCAGTTTTAGGGTTTTCGTTGATTGAGCGAATCGGAAAATCGGGGTATAATTTGTACAGTAGTTGAGCGTAAACCACACCGCTGCCTAAGGATTCGATGGATGGTATAGAATGGTTCAAAACGGTAGAAAGGAATAATATAAGTTGTGATTTGGTGGTGGGCGGCTGAATTTTGTGATAATTTGTGGACATTGAAACAAAACAGGGGTAAATGTGTAAGCTGTAATGAAAAAGATCTCGAATAAAGTATCGGGGGATTTTCCTTTCAGCTAGAGGGTAAAAATAGCCGCAGTTAAAGTAATAAAGATGTATATTATATCGATTTATGTTTGATGTATCAAATTGCAAATACCGAGTTTTGGAAATAGCGTTTTTCAAAAACACCAAAATATTCTTGATTGTTAAGTGAACCAATATTTCAAGCGAAATTGAAATATAATTGCAGACAAATACATGTGTAAACTTGTTATAAATGTATATGTTTCGTTTATCCTTATCATAAAGATTGATTAATTCAATAATGAACAGTAACCTCTAATCGTCACCAACGCCTCATCGGTATGGTTCATAGTATAGTTTCGGGTAAATTATTCTAGTTTTAAATTAAAAATTTATCCAAAAAGCGATATTTTATATATAATGGTTGATATGAAGATATGGACGAAATAGTGGTGTCATTGTTTTATGCAGAGTTTAAACATTTTCTTCATAAACTGAGTTGCAACATTATATGTCAAGGTATTCATTTAACATGTGAAAGAAAACTTATCAATGCCTGTCCAGAAGATCATTGTGATATGTGACACTCCACTCACTTGCCTCTTACTATTTACTCCGGCAAAAATATTTCAAGCTAAACAATTATTTAGCCATCAATACGTTGTGCCGAAGACATGTTATGTAGAATGAAACGGTAATCGAGTATTAAAAAATATTAATAATACTAATTACTTACTTGTATATTTATATTGCATTCCAAAAAACTCTTTAATTACCATTTAATGCTTCCTACTCACCTACTAAACTCTTTTGTGCTTACATTATTTACACACGAATAACCTTGTAATAGTAAAAAAATAAATCATGGCTAGTTAATTAAACGGAAGCATGCTGAGTATATTTCTTTGTTTATACAATTTTGTTAAACCAAATTTACCAGTTATATGTAATTTACACCACAAATAATTTAATGATCAGCAACACAAAGCTGAAAGGATTTTTTTGAATAGCTTAATTCAACACATTTTTAGTTAGTAATTTAAATTAATATAAGAAACTAGCTGCGCTATTCCGTTTATAAAACG